TAGCTATATATATATATATACTTAATACTTACATTTGAATATGAGTGTATGAACGTATTATTAAAATAATGCTTATTATATAAATATATTTTATATACTACCAAATTTCACTAGATTTTTCTATTTATTGTGTTACATATTTTACACAGGCCTATATTATATATTAAATATATTAGATTAATATTTAAATATATTTTATATATTACCAAAGTCTGTCTATCTATCATCTATCCATCTATCCATCTATCTATCTATCTATCAGAGTGAAAATTTTAAGGGGGTCTGAATACTTTCCGTACCCACTGTATATAAAGTAGCTGTGTTTTGCATCATATCTATTAATATAGAATTTATAGTATTGTAACTTTAATGTAACACTGTATTGACCAATCAGCTTCCACTCCAGGAACGATCTGTTTATATAGAACAGTTCAAGCAGATGTAGAGCTGTTTCCCTGCAGCTGGTCTGGAATCAGTTGTACATGGTCATGTGCAGGAACTACAAATCAAGAGAAAAACATATAAATATTCATTTGGCACACAGTTAATGAATCACATTTTTCACAAGATAATAAATTCAGCTCTGATTCACGTAATAGCTGTCAGTCTTGTTGCATAAAGATGGTTAAGAAGAACTAAAGAGGGCTGGATCAGCCTGTGTGTGTGTGTGTGTGTGTGTGTGTGTGTGTATAAAGAGGACTCAACACTCATGTTTTTACCTGTCTGCAGTTCACTGAAATCACTCCCATCCCTGTCGCATCAAATGCCTGAAACTTGCCTGAAAACAAAAACAGGTAGATAGATAAATAGACAGACAGACATACTGTAAATGATTATTATTATTATTACTAAAATGTATTAAAATTATATGTGTGTGTGTAATATATATATATATATATATATATATTAAAAAAATTCCCTTTGTTATGCAATGCTATTCATAAACTGATAGAACGTCTGATGTAGAAACTATTTTCTGTCAGAAATCTTGAAGTAGAAGGACTGAAACATTTCTGACAGTGTACAGTTTTTTATTTTTATATTTTATGTTTTCATTTTAATTTTAGTTAAAGGGGTCATATGATGCGATTTCAAGTTTTCCGACCCCTTTAAAGTTTTAGACATTTTGTTGTTTGTTTGTCATTTTTATTACATTTAAAAAAAGCATCTATATAGTTTTCATTATTTTAATTCAAACTTTTATAAATTATTGTAAACTGAATTAAAATTTGAAAGGTTGCCTGGGCAACTAGATGAAATAAAATTAGTTTAAGTTTTTTTTTAACAAAAGCTGTTTTATGGTTTTAGTTTAAATTAACTCTAATAATCCTGCAGTTCACCCTCATGATGCTCTAAACCCAAATGACCTTTTTTTAATTATTAAGGAATATCCTGCTCATTTTTTTATTTAAAGACCAGAAAAAAACTCAAAAAAATCTCCTTTTGTGTTCCAGGTAACAAAAAAAAGTACTTTGATTTAACTTTGATTTGTGTATTCTCTTACGTATCATGCAGTCCAGTTTGGTGAGCAGGAAGAGGAATCCCGGGAAGCTGACGTTCATATCTGGCTCCGTGTAGCGCAGGCCGATCAGCTGCAGTATGAATTCATCCACCCGTATGCCTAGACCAGAGCAGACCAGCTCAGATCAACCTGATCATCAGCATTCCAGACTCACGACAGCAGATGAATAAGCAGGTTTCTCTCCTGACAGCTGGGTGTGTGTGTGTGTGTGTGTGTGGGAGAGCGTTTCACAGTGTGTGTGTGTGTTTTCATTCTCAATAAGTGTTGCGTCAATGAATGCATTTGCATGTACAGGGTGTGTGTTCATGCTCATACTTGCATTTGTGTGTGTGTGTGAGTAAGTGTGTGTCATGGGTTTCACCTGCTGCTCTCAGAGCGGGTGGGATTTCTAGATAATCCAGAGCCTGGTTCTTGTTTTTGTCGAATGTCATAAAGATACCCTGTAAAAACACAGACAGACGGGTGAATAATCACAGAATCCAATCTTTATTTGATCTAAGATGTAGTCATGAATATCAATCCATGCCTTAAAGCAATAGTTACATGTTATTTACTATAAAATAATAAGAAATTAAAAATTAAATATTATATATATATATATATATATATATATATATATATATGTAAATTTGAATATGTGTTGTATTTTTATTTGAATATTTGATATGTTTCTCTTATTTATTGTAAATGAAAGAAATAATAATTTCATTAATTTCAACAAATTTAATGACACGCACACAACTCGGAAACTTTGGGCTTAAAGAAAAATTTTACCGTTTCCCACTCATAATCATGACTTTGTGGTTGCGTTCATCTCATAAATTATCTTTGTGAACTTAACTTGAATGCACTGCATGATGCAATCAGTCATGTGACATGAAAACCTTCTACAGTCTCATCCTGACCGTAACCAAACACACCCTACGTGCATTAAATTACTGCAAACAGCCAAATGTCCTCACCGTCCACTTCCGGAGTTTTGCCCACAATGCCTGGAACTCTATCAAGTCGAGTCGTCCCATTCCTTGGCTCTGATTGGAGGTGTTAAGGTGACATTCCAATCTCCACCCAAAACATTCTTGTGAAACACACCATAAAATACCACACCCACCCACATCCACCTGCAGTTACTGAGATAACACATCCGCTATGATGAGAATGAAATACTAGCATATGTACCGCATAACACATGCCATACTATTCTTAGAAATAGAATGTGAAACAAACTGTTGCATGTTACACTACCGGTCAAAATCTTGGAATTGTTCATGTTTTTGAAAGAAGTCTCTTCTGCTCACCAAGGCTGCATTTATTTGATCAAAATAAAAATAGTAAAATTGCGCAATATTATTACAATTTAAAATAACTGTTTTCAATTGTAATATATTGTAAAATGTAATTTATTTCTGTGATCAAAGCTGAATTTTCAGCATCATTACGCCAGTCTTCAGTGTCACATGATCCTTCAGAAATCATTCTAATATGCTGATTATCATCAATGTTGAAAACAGTTATGCTGCTGCATATTTTTGTGGACACTTTTTTTTCAGCAAGGATGCATTAAATTGATCAAAAGTGATAGCAAGGACATTTATAATTACAAATTCTGTTATTTTCAACTTTCTATTCATCAGAAATCCTGAAAAACTAAATATATGATGGTTTCCTCAAAAAATACGAAGCAGCACAACTGTTTTCAACATTGATAATAATAGGAATGTTTCTTAAGCAGCAAATCAACATATTAGAATGATTTCTGAAGGGTTATGTGACACTGAAGACTGGAGTAATGATGCTGAAAATTCAGCTTTGATCACAGGAATAAATGACATTTTAAAATATATTACAATTGAAAATAGTTATTTTAAATTGTAATAATATTTCACAATTTTACTGTATTTCTGATCAAATAAATGCAGCATTAATGAGCAGATTTCAATCAAATCCAAATGAATCAAAATTGATATTAATGCTAGAAGATTCATCACACTAGAAATGCAGGATGGAGTTTACCACACTAGTTTTAGATCGCACAATTTATGCCATCTGCAGACAGAAAATCTGCATTCTGTGCTAAGAATTCATACTGCATACAGCAGTGAAAGTATTAAAGCATAGCCATGCAGTCTTAAAGATTTAGTCATTTAAATTCAATGTTTAGCGGTTTATCTAGTTCTATTCCGTGTCCATGCACACTAACCAGTGCGTTTGTGAGGACAGTGTATATCAGAAGTGCACTAGCTATGCAGGATACATCCATGAGCACCACGAAGCTCTTGCAGTGCTCCAAACTCAGCTGCTTCTCGCTACCTGCAAAGACTGACCAAACAGGAAACAGAAACAATATCATCCAACCCACTTCCTCACTGGTTTCCACTTCACTTCCTGCATGGTTTTCAACTCTGCTAGCAGAACTAATGAAAAGAATTGCATTAACACGGCACAGTGAACACGACTTCTCCTGCAAACCGTGTTTACCATTCAAATGCAAATGTAGAAAAAAAAAAAAAGAAGTGAACAGTTGAAAAACAGCTGGTGAATAAACATGTTCTCACCTCCTTTGGCAATGGCTTCTGTCAGCAGGTTATACAGATCCAAAGGGGAACAATAAGGCCCCTATAGACAACACATACAACACTGTTAACAGTCACACGCATATGACATTGGAGCTACATATTAGCTCTAAGAATACATGCACAGACAAACTCAAAAGTACTGTATTGTGCAGCTCAACGTGCAAGTAATGTGTGTTTTTACCTTGACACAGTGTTTCACAAAGAGCTCTCTGGCTTCATTTCCAGACGGCAGACCTGCGAGATGTGGAGACATTGGCTACACACACAAACAGACAGGCAGAAACAATTAAAACCCAACGATTAAACGGACTCAGTGCTAACAAATGATCAAAGCAGTGAATCAACTTCTCCATTTTACCGGTGTAATCGAGTTTCTATCTACTCCTGGTGTCCCAACAGCTCTGCAAACACACATATATATTGACATATGTAGCAGTTTATTATGTTAAAACAAAGAAAAATAAAGAAAAAGCAATGTTCCCATCAAGTTATGAAAACATAATTTCTGAATCTTCACTGAACGTTCAAACAGTCCAGGTTTTAAAACATTGAGGAAACATTCCATTTTATGTTTTTAAAAATGGCGAGAACGTTACCTCTGAATGTTCTCTGAAACAAGTAGTAACATTAAAAAAATGTAAAAAGCATTCCATGATTAATATAGCATACAAATGTTTTGTGCTAACATTATTAAAGACGAATGAACTTTAATGTTCTATTAATGGTAATGGAAGAACGTTTGCTCATAACTTTGAATGAACCTTGCCAGAACATTCTGTGTTCGCTGAGATTTGACCTCCAAAAATAAAGAACATTTTTGTTGAAGTTCTCAGTTTTGTTTCATTTTATAAAACGGATAGTTCCGGTCCTTGATTCTGATTGACTGAGCCACGTTCTCTACAAACATACACCTTTGTATGTTTACGTTTGTGTGTTGCTCGGCAGACACTTTGTTGGAACCACCACTGTTTCTGAGGAACTACATTGTTTGGTGGAAGAATAATGTTTTTATTAATATCATTACACTTTATTTGCTCTGTATTTTGTGAAACCTTACTACGTATATGGAATAACCGTTTTATAAAAGCAATAACCTCGTGAAGCCATGGTTTACAGGGGGTTTTAGGCACTCCGCTTCGCGTTGCAATGCCCCTTAGCTGTTATAAATTCACTGTAAACCACGGCTTCTTATGGGGCTTATTGCTTTATTTTCTCCTAGAACTCATTATGGGAAGTAAAAATAGACACAAAGTACTTGTCATATAGTAAGAGCACAGAGGTGTAGCATTAATGTGAATAGTAGCTCAGCAGTGTTGTTATTGCTAACTAAAACTATTAAAAATCCCTTTTGTTAATGAAAATGAAGTTGACATAAAATCAATTTTAAATACTTAAAGAAACAAAAAACTTAAAAACCTTTACAAAACTTATACAGATATTAAAAATGCTGCATTGGCAACTAACTAAAATATAATATGTTACTAAATTACTAAAAATATTTAAGAAATAATAAAGCACATATCAAAATGATTAAAAATTGGAAATACAAAAATAAAATACTAATTTTGAATAATAAAAATGTTCATATTAATTAAATTAAAATAAAATAAAAACAATATGAATTAAAAATGATTCCATGTTATTTTTAATATTAAAATATTTGAGTAATACTAAAATAACACTGCAGAAGAAAATATTAGAAAATACTGAGAAAATATTAGTTATGTGTATTAGATTACTGGGTCTGTTTCTCAGCAAGGTTTGCTCTATATTTCATTCCATTGCTGTCAAACGAAGTGCCGTGACGTGGCCAAGTATGGTGACCCATACTCGGAATTAGTGCTCTGCATTTATCCCATCCAAAGTGCACACACACAGCAGTGAACACACACACACCGTGAACACACACCCGGAGCAGTTAGGGATTCGGTGTCTTGCTCAAGGACACCTCAGTCGTGGTATTGAAGGTGTGAGAGAGCACCGTACATTCACTCCCTCCACCTACAATCCCTGCCGGTACGAGACTCAAACCCACAACCTTTGGGTTACGAGTCCGACTCTCTAACCATTAGGCCACAACTTCCCCGAGATTTTCTTGCATGTTGGAGAGCATCACTTACATGGTTTTGTTTGCTTTCTCGGTCAGAACTCTCAGAAGGAATTCTTCCTCCTTACTGGTCTCTGCGCAGGGAATGATGATGTAATGACCGGGTGCCAGGCGACCACGAAGCACCAGCTCCCGCCGCTTGTCTTTAGCAGTGCTGAGCACCGGGCTCGACTGAGACAAGTCCAGAGAGGAGAGGAAATCACGTTCGGATCGGGCCTGATCACACACACACACACACATCAGACAGAGACACACAGTCAAGAGACACTAACATGCTCCAATCTTCACACCATGAGCTCAGAAATTGTTCTTTTTATTTCATTTTTCCTTTTCTTTTCTTTTTATCTAACGCATGATATATGAAATATATTTTTATTTTCTATACTGCTTCCTTCAAGCAGTACAATATATAACACAGTGACTAGTTCTTCCTTTGAATCACAGTATACTATATACATACATAAATATAATACAAAATAAATCATATATTATATAATACAGTTCTTCCTTCAAAGCAGGGCAATTAACTCAAACTAAAACCATAACAAAATTCTGTTATTTCAAATGACAAATATGTTAAATGAAATAAACTTATTTTATAAATAATATTTTATTCATATATTTTATTTATATAATATTATATAAATATTATATAATATAATATATACTATAGTTCTTCCTTCAAACCAGTACAATACATAATATATAATATATAATATGTTACGTAATACAGTGACTAGTTCATCCTCTGAAGCAGGGTAATTATAATTAACTAAAACTAAAACCTGGCTTAAAAGATCCCTTTACTTCAAAAAAAATAAAAAAAATAAAAGGCCACATTTCTCATTCTCATTTAGTTTAACTTGATGTGCTAAAATAACTGAAATTAAAAATGACAAAAACACAACAGAATAACTAAACGTTTATTCAAATATTAAAACTAATTCAAACTATTAAGAAAAACTATCTCAACAATACTAAGACAACATTGCTTTGAAGTGTTCATTGTAGTCGTCTGGGAACCTATAAACATCCGTTTCCCAGCGAAACTGATAAAGCCAACCAATCAGATTGCAGCTTGCATATCCAATAATACACACTCAGAAAACAGACGTGTGAAACCTTGTATATTTGCAGCGTGACCTCGGACTGCACTCCTCTCTTACGAGTGTGTTTCTGCATGAGCGCCAGCAGGAATGAGCACGTTAGTTCAGCTACAAAGAGAGATATATCACAGACTTTTTTTATTTTATATATATATATATATATATATTTATATATATATATATATATATATATATATATTCACTTTCATATTTATATAACGTGTTTTGTACCCTTTTTTGTCACTCCAAGGCCCCTCCCATTCAGTATTACCCCACGGGTTCCTGATCCGCACCAGCTGAACCGGACCGATCGTAGTCTTGATCTGAAACACACATAAAGCAAACTCAGTCCGAACTATTTCTTATCTTGCATATGATTTCAGATTGAAGTATGTGAATTGGGACTCAGCAATCCTCTACATCCAGCTTTCTCAGAAATACAGTACTAGCAGTGTCCCATTCTGTTGTGATTTAAGCAGATGGTGACCTCTGGTGGAACACTGAGTATTAAAGACACCACTGAAACACAAATCAAGAGCTGCTGTGACAGACAGATAATGAAAGAGAGAGAAAAAGAAAACACCCAAGGTAAAAATTTCCCCTCTCACCGTCTCCAAGCCGGTCACAGAGTAGGCGTGCCAAAACACAATCCCAAACTCATTGCTCTGCTCGATGGCACCCTTCACAAAGACAGAGAGACAAGACAATAGATTACTTTCACAAAACAACATCTGTCGAAAGAAAACACTTTCCTGGAACTCGAGAAAGATCCTTTTACCTAGAAGAACACAAACAAAGAGGAAAGAACACGCGAGACCCTCGCTCACAACAATTTCACCGAACCCAAACATTTTTGAATGGTAGTGTACATTTTGACAAACAGTGTGGGGATTTTACCTGATTAAAAACTTCACATACACTGCTTCAGAAGACTTGAAATACTACTTCTATAACATTTTATTAGAGCTTAAATGTCTACAGAATTTAGAGCTTACAGCCCCAGTCTATTCACTGTCACTGTATGAAAAAGAGCAGCAGGGACATTCTACTAAACATCTTTATTTGTGTTCCACAGAAGTCATCATGCAGGTTTGGAATGACATGGGGGAGAATAAACGATGAGAGAATTGCAATTTTTGGGCGAACTATTCCTTTTAATTAGGCATGTGAAGAGAGAGTACCCTTGTGTTACCACAGTTGATCAGAGCTCCTTCCTGCAGCAGCGGGTGCAGGAAAGAGCCCAGCATTCGAGGGTCAGACGGCACCGTGAAAACCTCTGTAACCCCACCTGTCATGTCTGTCATCGCCTCATGAGGGTAACCCATATTCAGAGCAGTATAACCACCCTTCAGTCTGAGAATGAGATGGAGAGGATAATCTGAACAACAAGCAGTTTATGTGCATGCAGAGCTCACCCTCAGACCTCCCAAGATGTAGGCAGAACAGATTTGTAGAAATATAGCATCACATCAGTCACCAATGGATCCTCTGCAGTGAATGGGTGCCGCCAGAATGAGAGTCCAAACCGCTGATAAAAACATTGTGAAGCCAAAAGCTGCATGTTTGTAAGAAACTTTAAAACGTATAACTTTAAGTCTTCGCTTCTGGCCAAAATACAAGTCCTTAATATTTAATCCCTCTTTCTCCTGCGAAAAAGTGCATCCCCTATTGTCTCTCACATCAAAATCCACCAAATGATTTGTTTAGAACTGTTTTGAAGTGCTTGTGCTTGATCTGTGCAGATTTCTATCCTATAACTCAGACCAGACAACTTTTTCACTGGAGGAAGCGTTATTATGGATAGAGGACTCATATTTCAGCCTGAAGTTATGGTTTTGCAGTTAAAAATGCCTTGATGGATTTGTTTTGTACAAACATGCAACTTTTCATTTCACAAGATATTAACTGTTGGACTGGATTGGTGTGGTTTACTTGTGGATTATTGTGAGTTTTTTAAAAATCAGTTTGGACTCTCATTCTGACGGCACCCATTCACCGCAGAGGATCCGTTGGTGAGCAAGTGGTGTAATGCTACATTTCTCCAAACCTGATGAAGAAACAAACTCATCTACATCTTGGATGGCCTAAGGGTGAGTAAACATTCAGCAAATTTTCATTTTTGTGTGAACCGTTCCTTTAAATATGATATCCAGTCATTTTTATGCATTGACATATTCCACTAACTTGGTAAAAAAAACTACTTTATATTTTATACTCACTGATTTAAAGCATCTATTCTGACTCAAGAACTATGAATAGTTCTGAAGAACATTCTTTTCTGAAGGAACCAACAGTGTAAAAGGAAGAACTGCAATAGAAAGACTACATAATTTCAAACATTTTCCATTTCTAAACGGTTTCCTCCTTTGGGCAGCGTGCGTATGTAAACAGCACGTGCTTTGATATTTTGCTTGCATTGCAATGGCATTGAAACAGTTTAAGTGTGATTATAAGTGGCGAAATACTTTTTTATTAGTGCATAACTTTAAAATACAACAAAGCATTATGTTCAAATACAATAGTATTGGCCACACCCCCAAACAGCTATCAGCCCAGCTAACAGAGAACGTTCCCACATATTTCACTATTAATGTATTTTAATAATGTATTATTAATATATTATTATAATAAGTTATACAGAAATGTTACGACAAAACGTTCTTAAAGTATTGTTTATGTAACAGTCTAATAACTTTTTAATAGGCCTGTTTGATATACGTTCTCAGAACAACATTTTCAACGTCCTTATGATGTTTGAACTTCATGTTCTAAGAAATGAATTTCTAACATTCTTTAAATAACATTCTAAGCACGAAAAGAAAACTGGGAATGTTCTTAGAATATTAAAAATAAACATTCCACTAACGTTCGCCTACAAACGTGCTAGAAACTTGTAAGAAACGTTTTTGTAACCTTGGCATAACCAGTGTTGGGGGTAACGGATTACAAGTAACGCGAGTTACGTAATCAGATTACTTTTTTCAAGTAACTAGTAAAGTAACGCATTACTTTTTAATTTACAAGAGAATATCTGAGTTACTTTTTCAAATAAGTAACGCAAGTTTCTTTTTTTTTATTTTTATTTATTGGTTCACAGCTCTGCTGTCCCCATGTTGAGAGAAATCAGAAGATGTTACTGTAGTTCTACAATAAATATGAATATGCATTAATTCATCTCACACAAAAAAAAACACAGATTCAGTATTCCTCAAAATTAATAAAAATAATGCAATGCAAATGCAAAATGCAAATGTTGAACAACACAAATATCCTTTATGTGTTTAATCCCATTCTATTAACCAATGTCTTTGCTTCTGACCTTCGATGATCCAGTTCAACCGTACTAATAAGCAAAAATTACTCATCTTTTTTTATTGCTGAAGTGTGTTGAAATGGCTTCTTCTGCATTCTACTGTACGGATGTATTTGGTGTGAAAAGGCTTTTAAATTTGCAAAAAATATAACTTTTTTATTTTAAAAACAAACAAGCAAGCCAGATTTAAAAAGTAACGCAAAAGTAACGTAACGCATTACTTTCCATAAAAAGTAACTAAGTAATGTAATTAGTTACTTTTTTTATGGAGTAACGCAATATTGTAATGCATTCCTTTTAAAAGTAACTTTCCCCAACACTGGGCATAACGTTCTAATCATGGCCAGAAAACTGGACATTTCAATGTTGAAACATTTCAAAACAACGTTCCCACATCGTTTTTATTATAGCTTACATTTGTTGCCTGGGAAAGAACAGTTCAGGTACAGATCTGTTATCGTATGGCTCTCTCTCGGGAGGTGTGTGCTGGGCTGTCACTTTGGCTCACCTTTGGTCGTTTCCAAACCAAGTCTTTCTGAATCAGCATGTCCTGCTCCGGGAACTTGGTGTCCGTGTAAAGCCCGTCCTGCAGAGGAAGCCCGGAGGTGGGAGACCACAGCAGCGTCGGGCTGCCCAGACTCTCCCAGGGGTTCGAACTGGACGAGTCTATGCTCGGCTGTTTCTTCGTTTCGGACATACTGGAGTGCGACTTCAGATCCTTCTGAATCTGTCAATGTGTTTGGGAACGAGTGTATCTGAATGCACACACAGACGATTATATTTATCCCTACTGTCAAAAACCTCAACGAATCAAATATTGGTCTGTGGTAAAGTGGGCGTAAACTTCAGGAAAGCAGGTCTTTCCTTAACTTACCTTTAAACAGCTCCTCTCTCCAGCTGTGCGCTACCTAACACTGTCAAAACGAAAACATCTGTCATCATAAACGACCACCTTTACCACAGTGGAGCACGTATCACTATCAAGGCTCTTATACTCTTTAGATTTAATTTCTGATCTATTACTGAAATAACTTAACTGTAATGTGCATGTCAGCTTGCTCTGTCTGTCTTGGATGCCTTAAACTACAAAACACAATATCCTGACCCATGCAGTGATAAAAAAAGAAAGAAAGAAAGAATGAATTTGGAGTAGCTGTTGTGATCAATATACTGTATATATATATATACAATAAACTGAAATATTTTTTACAATTTAATATAACTGTTTTCTATGTGATTATATTTTAAAATGTAATTTATTCCTGTGATCAAAGCTGAATTTTCAGCATCATTACTCCAGTCTTCAGTGTCGCACGATCCTTCAGAAATCATTCTAATATGCTGCTCAAGAAACATTTCTTGCTAACCATATAGTAAGTACATGTAGTTAATTATAATTACACTGTAACAAAGACACCTTAAAATAAAACGTAACCTAACTTTAATTTATCTTCCTGTTTTATTTGTCATGAACACATATGTTCATATTTACCACACACTTTCTATGTTTTTCCTGACTCCATTCCAGTGACAATGGCATTGATTAATGCAAGATCCCTTGCAAATAAGTATTTTATTTTGAATCATCTTTTTCTCTCTCATGAAGTAGACTTCTTATTTGTAACTGAGACTTGGCTCAACGTCGGTTCTCTCTCTGAACTTTCTCCTCCTGGTTGTAGTTTTTTTTAGTACACCCAGGTCTATTGGCCGGGGTGGTGGTCTTACTGTTATTTTTAAAGACAGGTTCAAATGTTCAAAATTACCTTCTGAGTCTCATTGTACGTTAGAAACTCAGATAATTATGTTGAATCCTTTTAAATCTGTGTTATGCGTTTTGATTTATAGACCCCCAAACATTCATGGGGATTTTATTCTGGAGTTTTCTGAATTTTGATCTGTTATTGTCCCTTCTTTTGACAATATTTTCATTTGGGGGGATTTCAACATACATGTTTGTTGCCCTTCAAAGCCCCTGGTTAGTGAGTTTTTTAATTTATTAGAGTCATGTGATCTTTTACAGTGTGTTTCTGGTCCAACACATGAGCGTGGTCATACTCTTGACCTTGTATTATCTTTGGGGTTTTCAGTTAGTGGGTTGAAAATAGCAGACACTGTTTTCTCTGACCACAAGACAGAGAAAACAGCCCTACTTTCCCGTGTAGTACTCAGATTATGAATGTTTCTTCTTCTATTGCTTCTCGTGCTCTTACTCCTTGTACTGCTGGAACATTTTCAGCAGCCTTTGGAGTTTCTCCTTTAATTAGCTTGATTGAGTCTCCCTCTCCTTGTATTGGACCTGAACAGTTGGTCAATCAGTTCAACGCTACATGTTCAGATATTTTAGATCTTGTGGCTCCTTTGGAAATTAGGAATAAAAAGGTCAAGACACAGCCCTGGCTCTCAGGCAAGAGTGAAGAAGGGCCAAACGTAAATGGCTTAAAGATAAACTACAGGTTTCTTATGAGATTTTGAAGAGTTGTTTGAGTGAATACCAAAGAGCTGTTAAATTAGCTAGACCTAATTATTTTTCTGATATTATCTCGAAGAACTGCCATAATTCTAGTGTTTTTTTCTACTATAAACACTGTACTCCATCCTGTTGTTATGCCATTACTCTCACCTTCTGTTGACACATGTGAAAAGTTTTTTAAATTTTTCATTGATAAGACGCTTAAAGATAAACTACAGGTTTCTTATGAGATTTTGAAGAGATTTAAATTCTATTGGTACATGCATTTTAACTATTATGAATAGTGTTGTACCAAATGTATGTTGTTCCACCTAGTTTTAAACATGCAGTTATCCAGCCCCTTCTTTAAAAAGCTGGTTTAGACTCCTCTGATATGAATAATTTTCGTCCCATTTCAAAATCGCCTTTTATTTCAAAGATACTGGAGAAGATTGTGTATGCACAGCTTAATGGTTTTTTGGTGAAGAACAACATTTCGGATAGATTTCAGTCAGGGTTTAGAGCCAGCCATAGTACAGAGGCGCTAATTCTAGAAGTTGTGTTGTTCTGTTACTTTTAGATCTTACCACAGCATTTGACACAGTTAACCATGAGATTCTCATTGATCGCCTTAGAGACCATGTTGGCATTCAGGGTTTAGCCTTAGAATGGTTTTCTTCATATTTAAAAGATAGGACTTTTTCAGTCAGTCTAGGGCAGGGGTAGGCAAGTTCGGCCCTAGAGAGCCGCAGTCCTGCAGAGTTCAGCTCCAATCCTAATCAAACACACCTGAACAAGCTAATCAATGTCTTCAGGATTACTAAAGCTATAGGTGAGTTTTTTTTTTCAGGGTTGGAGCTGAACTGCGGACTGCGGCTCTCTGGGACCGAACTTGCCTACCCCTGGTCTAGGGAATTACTCTTCATCTGTTGCCCCTCTCAAGTGTGGGGTTCCTCAGGGTTCAATCCTGGGACCGGTTTTGTTTTCCCTTTATATGCTCCCTCTAGGATCAATTTTTGAAAAACACAGCATTCATTATCATTTGTATGCTGATGACTCACAACTTTATTTACATTGAAACGCAAGGATCATTTATCCATTCAATCTCTGTATGAATGTTTGACTGAGGTTAAGTGTTGGTTAGCTAATAATTTTCTCCAACTGAATGAGAATAAGTCTGAGTTTATTTTACTTGGTAAAAAGGGATGTGTGGATGATGTCACTGACTGCCTGGGGTTACTTCCTGGGAAAAAACTTTCTAGAGTGAAAAACCTTGGTGTCAATTTTGACATTTTGACTGAACATTTTTGACAAATTTGATCGTCAAATTAATGCCGTTGTTAAAAATATTTTTTTCCAGTTGAAGTCTATCCTTTCTTTTAAGGACTTGGAGAAAGTCGTGCATGCTTTTGTGTCATCTCGTTTGGATTATTGTAATGCATTGTATCTGGATGTGAGTCAGGCCTCTCTCTCCCGCCTGCAGCTTGTTCAGAATTCAGCGACTAGGCTTTTAACGTGTACCAAGTGTCAGGATCATGGACTGTCTGTGTCATGTTTTGCCACTGTTCCTGTTCCCTTATTTGCTCATGTTCCTGTCCTCGTTTTGTTAATTAGTTTTATTAGTTATCCCATACACCTGTTTCCCCAATCATCCCCTATATTTAAGTCTTAGTCTGTGCAGCTCGTCTTTGTCGGTTCTACTTGTTATGTTCATGTGTTTCCTGCTGTTCCCAGTGTTGGATGTACCCTGTGTTTCTTGGATTAAAGACTGTTTCGTTTATTCCTCGTCTCCATCACATATTGTGACAGAAGAACCGACCAAAGAAAGTAACCTCCGTGTGTTTTCCCTCTGTTTGTTTTCTGTTTTTTGGACAAGTATACTATAGTGAAGATCAAATAAGATCTTTTAAACAACACTGGTAGGAAGTAACAGCGCTGTTCACCTTCTCTTTCAAGGGCAATAGTTGTGCAGTCTTGGCATTTTATATTTGACAGTGAGATCACTAAATGAGACTGCACGAGACCCTTGCATGGGAGACTTACGACACACGCTGACCTGGTGACACCTAATGACTTTGAGGGTCTGAATAATGCCATCTTATCCTTTAGTGACTGCTGATGTGTCATTTTTGTGCGTAATACGTATATTTGCATTTTAGGCATCACCTGTCTAGATAGAATTAAATGGTAAAATTTTTTTTTTTTAGAGGAAATATGTGCTTGCAGATGTTAATCTCACAAGCACAATGCTGGAATCGGTTCAGGTGATGGCCATGCATGCGGTTGTGTGCATCATCTTGCATGTACATGTTTAAGTCTGACAAGTCAAATCCTGTGTTTAATAGATAGTTTGGACTAGATTGAAGTTTTCAACTCGCGTGACACTGATTTAACAAAACACATTAAATAGCCATTAAGTTCATGGTCTTTTCCAGGAATATTGTACAATACAGGACTTAACTCTAAAATCTTTTTAAAAATTAGGCTTTATACATACACATACAGGGGCAGATTTAGTGAATTGGGGGCCCCAGGCAAAATATAGAAATGGGGCCCTATACATTTGCACACACTTTCCTAGATCAACCTTGAGGTTCCTTTTTTGTTGTGATGTTTGCTGCTGCACAATGGTGCCCCATAGTTGTGTCCAATGTTTCTACATTTTCATGTACATGTTACAATGGCTTTCTTTCATGTTGTAGACCACGACATAGCAACTGATATACAGTTGAGATACAGGTTTTCACAAAAATAAAATAAATTATAAAATTAAATAGTGATAATAAACACCGTAAACAGCAACCGTTCGCGTGTCAGTGCTTAATGCACATATCCTATATGAAAAGCATTTTAGGGGCCCTTGGCTTTTGGGGTCCCAAGGCGGTCGCCTACCTTTGCCTAAGTCCGCCCCTGCACAAATATTCAGTGAAATGAGGTGCTTTGTATTTTCTATTTATGTTATAGGATGTTTTTATTCTTTGAAACACTATTACCAACATTTGGGACATGCAAATACATAAGATGATGTGATGTTGTTTTTAAGAATGAACGTTAAACTTCAGGATTAAACAGACAACATTTATAAAGTAAATATGGGTCATGGTACACTGTAAAAAATCAAAAGTTGAGAAAACGTAAAAGTTTAAAGCAACCAGCTTCAGGAGATTTTTGCGTTTTCTGAACTTGTTTTTGTAGGAGATTTTTGAGTTTTCTAAACGTTTTGTTGTATAAACTGAAAACAAGAAGTTGAGAAAACTCAAAAATGTCCTGAAGCTGGTTGCCTTAAACTTTTAGGTTTTCTCAACTTTTGATATCTTGCCTATCGAAGCTT